CAAGCAGAGTTCAAGGTTCTCTTAGTCACTCCCTCCCAAGCCTTACCTATAAGGTTTACACAATTGAGGATATTAAAGTGATCCTTCCAAAACTCTTTTAGAGTCAATCGAGTGTCTGTGGTCACTTCAAAGCACTTTTGAAACAGAGCTTTTGTGTACAGTTTCTTGAAGTTGGAAATGACCTGCTGGTCCATGGGCTGCAGGAGAGGAGTGGTATTAGGAGGCAAAAACTTCACCTTAATGAAGCTCATGTCCCCATAAAGTCGCTCTGCCACGTCTGTAGGATGACCAGGGGCATTGTCTAACACCAGGAGGCACTTAAGGTCTAATTTCTTTTCAGTTAGGTAATCTTTCACATTGGGGGCAAATGCATGGTGTAACCAGTTTATAGAAAAATTCCCTAGTGACCCATGCCTTACTGTTTGCCCTCCACAGCACACACAAATTATCCTTGAGGACATTCTTTTGCCTGAACGCTCTGGGAGTTTCAGAGTGATACACTAATAAAGGCTTAACTTTGCAATCACCACTAGCATTGGCACACATCAACAAAGTAAGCCTGTCTTTCATAGGCTTATGTCCTGGGAGTGCCTTTTCCTCCTGAGTAATGTAGGTCCTGCTTGGCATTTTCTTCCAGAACAGGCCTGTTTCATCACAATTAAACACTTGTTCAGTTCCAGTCCTTCAGTTTCTATGTACTCCTTGAATTCCTGCACATATTTTTCAGCCGCTTTGTGGTCCGAACTGGCAGCCTCACCATGCCGTATCACACTATGGATGCCACTACGCTTCTTAAATCTCTCAAACCAACCTTTGCTGGCCTTAAATTCACTCACATCATCACTAGTTGCAGGCATTTTTTTAATTAAATCGTCATGCAACTTCCTAGCCTTTTCACATATGATCGCTTGAGAGACGCTATCTCCTGCTAGCTGTTTTTCATTTATCCACACCAATAAGAATCTCTCAACATCTTCCATCACTTGCGATCTTTGTTTCGAAAACACAGTTAAACCTTTGGCAACAACAGCTTCCTTGATTGCCGTTTTCTTGCCCACAATAGAAGCGATGGTTGATTTTGGTTTCTTGTACAACCTGACCAGGTCGGTGATACGTACTCCACTTTCATACTTATCAATGATCTCTTTCTTCATTTCTATGGGTATTCTTACCCTTTGAGGTGTAGGGTTGGCACTAGAAGCTTTCTTGGGGCCCATGGTCACTTATTTTCCACAAACAGCACCGAAAACACTGTAATAATACGAAATATTCCGAGTGTATGCTTGAATGTTACCGCGGAGGCTGGCTGGTAAACAATGGGACGGGCGGCACATGTGAGGCTGGGTGAGGGCTCAGATTGGACGCGTCTCGGACGAAGTTCGCTGAGCGGGTTTTTGTCCACTATGCGGGGCAAAATTTTAGCGAACAAAGCGTTCGCTATGCGGATTGTTCGCTATGCAAGGCGTTCGCTATGCGGGGGTCCACTGTACTATGATTGCTTTGGTTCCCAACCTTTACAAAACTGACAGCAAGATATTCTGGACACTGTTTGTGAGCAATTTTATAAACATGATTTAGCTTCAGTTGTTTTATTCTGTCTTCAACATTCAGCATATCCAACTGCTGTAATTCATCCTGGCCTACATGTTCTCTTGGTCCCAGCCCCAGGATGAATCTTACGATTTTGTTCTGGGTGATTTGCAGTCTATCTTTCAGTTTTTTTGTCAAGGCAGAGTACCATGCAGAGCAAGCGTAATCCATATGGCATTGTATAAGGGCTAGACATAGGGTTCTGCAAGCCTCAGTAGGTAGACACTGTGCTTGTCTATACAGGAACTTCAGTCTGGCATTCGCTTTCTTTACTACACTGTTCCCTATCAATTCTCCTGACATGCATGGGTCAAAGGGGATTCCCAGATATTTTACTGATGAAACCAAAGTGATGGGCTCCCCATTACACTGAACATTAAAATTATTTACCCTTCTCAGTTTATGTTTCATGCCAAAGAGAATGGCTTCAGTTTTCCCGAGGTGTAATGATAGTTTATTGTCTACTAACCATTTGCTGCAGGACTCCAGTTCCTGTGTTAAAACATTAGCAATATCCTGTGGGTCTTTACATGACACTAACAGAGCACTGTCATCTGCATACAGTAGGAGTTTGCACTTGACACTGACAGGCATGTCATTGACATAACATAAGAATAATAAGGGACCAAGAATACTACCTTGGGGAACTCCACATGTTATCGGCAGGGGTTCTGATTCTATTTTGTTGATTTTGACTATTTGTCTCCTGTTGCTAAGGTAGGACTTAAACCAGTCTACAGAACTTATACCGATAGCTTGAAGTTTCTTACATAATATATTGTGGTTGACAGTATCGAAGGCCTTTTGCAGGTCTAAGGTTACCATACCTATGAGGTTCCAGCTCTATTCGCAGATGACACTACATATGTCTACTCCCATTCAGACCCAGCTGTGCTTGAAAACAATGTAAACAATGAACTGCTAAAGATATATGCTTGGATGATGACCAACAAACTCACACTTGAACATCAAAATGGTATACAATACCGACAGGTTGTTAGGTAAGACACATATGCAACAGTTAGACAACTTTATTCCGAAACGTTTCGCCTACACAGTAGGCTTCTTCAGTCGAATACAGAAAGTAGGCAGGAACAGTAGAGATGTGAAGACGATGTAATCAGTCCATCACCCTTAAAGTCGTAGAATTTGAGGTTGTCAGTCCCTCGGCCTGGAGAAGTTCAGTTCCATAGTCAGGAACTATCTGAATAGTTCCTGACTATGGAACTGAACTTCTCCAGGCCGAGGGACTGACAACCTCAAATTCTACGACTTTAAGGGTGATGGACTGATTACATCGTCTTCACATCTCTACTGTTCCTGCCTACTTTCTGTATTCGACTGAAGAAGCCTACTGTGTAGGCGAAACGTTTCGGAATAAAGTTGTCTAACTGTTGCATATGTGTCTTACCTAACAAACTCACACTTAACATAGACAAAACTTACTTCATGCTGTTTGGCAACAGAGCCTCAAATATTCAACTCAACATACTGTTAAATGGTTCCCCTATATCAAGACACATGGAGGGCAAATTTCTAGGTCTTCTCCTTGACTGTAATCTTAAATTTCAGTCCCATACCCATCACATAGCTAAGAAAATTTCCAAATCAGTAGGAATCTTTTCCAAGATACACTACTATCACGACTCTCCTTACCCTGTACCAATCTCTAATATATCCTTACCTCACCTATGGTATCTGTGCCTGGGGCTCAACCACAGCCAACCACCTTAGACCCTTAATAATCCAACAAAAGGTTGCTGTGCAGGTGATAACCAGCTCCTGTGCTAGACAGCACACCCCACCACTTTTCAAAAGACTCAACTTGCTAAATATACAAGACATACACTCTTATTATTGTGCCTACTACATATACAGAACTTTAAACTCCACTGTAAACTCCCCCCTAAAACTACTCCTCGACAGTTACAACAGAATGCACAGTCACAATACAAGGCATAAGGCCCTTTTCAACATCCCTCGAGTAAAACTCTCACTATGCAAGAACGCTATGCATATAAAAGGCCCAAAGATCTGGAACTCGCTACCGGAAAAAGTCAAGGATCCCCAGACAACTTATAAATTTAGGACTCTGCTAAAAAATCATCTTATCTCACAATATTAACCAAATCAACCAAACTTCTACTGACTAGTTTTATCATGTGACCTCCTGGCTTTTAATTCTGCCATTCCATAAAATATTACTACCTGCACCATTCCTTGTAAATTAGATTTTGTACTAAGTATACATAAGATTTATTAAGTCCAAATAAGATTGTAAAACAGCTAACCACTATTCTATGTTTAGTTTTAAGTAATAATTACTATGTACTATTATCTTATCTAGTCTTAATTAGTTACTATGTATTAGGATTAGTTTGCCCGAAATGCCTCAGCATGATAGTGGCTATCTTTGTACTTAGCAAATCAAAACTGTAATTACACACTGTAACCTTTATAAAGAAATAAACTTATTATTATTATTATTATTACTTGGAGGGTATTCTGGGGATCAACACCCCATGGCCCAGTCCATGACGAGGCCTCCCGGTGGATCGGGGCCTGATCAACTAGGCTGTTAGTGCTGGTTGCATGTAGTCCAATGTGCAAACCACAGCCTAGCTGATCTGGCACTGACTTTAGGTATCCATCTTTCTCTATCAGTCACGCATGCGTATAAAGCAACTAAAATGCCGGGAGCAAGGGGCTATTAACCCTTTCTCCTGTATAAATTACTAAATTTTAAAAGCTGTCATTTTTCTTTTTAGGTCACCTTGCCTTGGTGGGATAAGGCCAGTTTGTTGAGAGAAAAAAAAAGTATTCTGGTACATGTTGCTTTAATACATTTCACCTCACTCGTGCAACAGACTGAAGTGCAACAGACTGAAATTCTACTTCCCTTTTCATCAGGTCTGTAGTTATGTATGTTTGTGTCTGGAGGTAGGTCACACGTACAAGAAATTCATCCAATGATTCACTCAGTTTTCAACACAAAAGTAGTTTTCCCACCAAGGTACAGATGACCCAAAGGAAACGCATTCACTATCACTCATTTAATATCTATCTTCATAATGGTAGTAGCATATTAATTTAAAAAAAAAAATCGGCTGTTTTTCACCAAGGAAGGGTGACCCAGAAAGGAAGAAAAACCCAAAAAGAAAAAAAATCTTTTCATCATTCAACACTTTCACCATCACTCATACATAATCACCATCTTTACAGAGGTGCTCAGATATGACAGTATAGATGTCCCTCCAAACTGCCTATATCCCAAACCCCTCCTTTAAAGTGCAGGCATTGTACTTCCTATTTCCAGGACTCAAGTCCAGCTAACCGGTTTCCCTGAATCCCTTCACAAAATATTATCCTGCCCATACTCCAACAGAGGGCAGGTGTGTATTAACACTCACCTTGTGTGCCATACTGAATCAAAGGCATAATATCAACCAAAGCAACAAGTGACTGATGTAATCCAGAATAGTCTAAGTTTGGAAAAAGAGCAAGCCTCATGGCGTCTTGGTCTCGATGGTGTAGCATATCCATGGGTCGTTCTTGAATTTCTCGCAGTACACCTAATGAAAAGAAAAATAGCAATTAGAGTGTATGTTTGAGTGAGCATGTGATGGTGTGCACATGAAGGCATGCATGTAAGGGTGTGTGTACTCACCTACTTGTACTCACCTATTTGTGGTTGCAGGGGTTGAGTCATAGCTCCTGGCCCCGCCGCTTCGCTGATTGCTACTAGGTCCTCTCTCTCCCTGCCCCATGAGTTTTATCATACCTCGCCTTAAAACTATGTATGGTTCTTGCCTCCACTACATCGCTTGCCAGACTATTCCACTTCCTAACTACTCTATGACTGAAGAAATACTTCCTAACATCCCTTTGATTCATCTGAGTCTTCAACTTCCAATTGTGACCTCTTGTGTCTGTGTCCCTTCCCTGGAAAATCCGTCTTTTGTCCACCTTGTCTAATTCTGCGCAATTTTATATGTCGTTATCATGTCTCCCCTGACCCTCCTGTCCTCCAGTGTCGTCAGCCGATTTTCACTCACCTTTCTTTGTAGGACTATCCCAGTAGCTTCTGGACCTATCTGTTGCAGACCTTAGCACTTTCTGCCTAAATTTCCTGACGGCTTTACTAGGTGTGGATTTCAAACTGGCTGCATATCCAGTAGGAGTGGGAGCCCTGGTGGGGGCCTATGGGGGGCTGTGGTGTGGGTGGGGTTTGTGATGAGGGGGTTGGGGGCAGAGGAAACAGCTTGTGGGTTTTGGTTTAGATTGTTCAGTTGTGTTAGGGTTGTCATGGTTGGAGTCCTTCTGCAGGAGTTTCTAGAGGGTATATTTGCCCTTCCTCCTGGGTCTGGGTCCTGCTCATCTTCATCATTGCTCTCCATTCCCCTTGCATCTTTGTACCCTCTCTTTCAGTATCATCCTTTCTTCTTGTGCTCGGTCGTGATCAAGGTATACTCTCCGGTACTCCGGTTTGTCCCTCAGTTGTGCTTTCTCCTGCAGGATCCTGGTTCGAGCTGATTCTTCCTTGAAAATTACTTTGACAGGCCATTTCCTTCCACTCGGAAACCACCCAATTCTCCGAAAACTTGTCACCTGGGTCATGTTGCCCTCACCTATTTTTTTCATGATACCTTCAATCGCTTCTTCCTCCTCCTGTTTTCTTTCATCGCAGGTTTCCCCTTCGGCTTCTTGGAGCCCATAGACAAAAACTGACCTCTCCCTTTCCTCCTCACTGTATCTCCTTTTGCATCCTCTGAGGTGTTTTAGTTCCTTCCACTGAAATGTTCCTGCCTTCAATCCCTGTCCTTGCTGAAGCCTCTATGCTCAGTAAACTGTCTTTCATGATCAGCTGTTCCTTGCTGCTGCAGTTGGTTTTTAGAGTCTCTGCATATAGCATACCTTCATTGTCTTCAGACCAGTCATTTGATCATAGTGTGCTCCTCGTCTTTTCCTTGGTCCAACTGGGTCTAATAGGGCCTTCGCATACAGCATATCTCCTTGTCTTCCTACCATCCCCTTGTCTGTGGCTGATATAGAAGTTCCTGATGTCATGTCTGCACTGTCATTTGTCTCTCTAATCTGTTTTAGGTCTTTTAATTCCTCTTCTAAGCACTGTATCCTAGCTTCTGCTGCTAAGACTTGTAGCCCCCACTTCCTGCTCTCTTCAGCTATCCTCTCCTCCATTATCTTGCCAAGCTCTTCTATCTTCCTTCTCCACTCTTCCTCTCTATTTTTGAGCTCTAACTCCCAATCTTTCCTCCCAGGTTCTTCCCTCCCAGGTTCATCCACCAGATCTCTGGTTCTTTGCCCTCTTGGGTAAGCTGCTGTCTTCCTGACAAGTATTCCCTGACTCATTGTAGTGCCTTCCCTATTATCCCTGCCTGGTACTCCAGTTTTTGCACTAATCTCTTGTGTGGAACTGTGTCAAATGCCTTCTTACAGTCCAAGAAAATGCAATCTACCCACCCCTCTCTCTCTTGTCTTACTGCTGTCACCCTGTCATAGAACTCCAGTAGGTTTGTGACACAGGATTTCCCATCCCTGAAACCATGTTGGCTGTTGTTGGTGTGTACTCACTTAGTTGTACTCACCTAGTTGTGGTTGCAGGGATCAATTCATAGCCCCTGGCCCCGCCTCTCACTGTCGCTACTGTAGTGGTGTGTGTGTGGTGGTGTGGTACTCACCTAATTGTACTCACCTAATGTGGTTGCAGGGGTCGAGACTCAAGCTCGGGCCCCCGCCTTTCACTGATCGCACGGATCCTCTTCTCTCTGCTTCTGAGCTTTGTCATACTTTCTAAAACTTGTATGGTTCCGACTCCACTACTTCACTTGTGGGGCTATCCACTTGCTGACAACTCTATGACTGAAGAATACTCTAACGTCCCTGTGATCGCTGAGTCTTCAGTTTCCGTTGTGACCCTTGTCCTGTGTCCCTCTCTGGAACATCTATCTTGTCACCTTGTTATCCCGCAGATTTTGGGTAGTCGTTATCTGTCTCCCTGACCTTCTGTCTCAGGGTCGTCGGGTCCGATTCCCTTTACCTTTCCTCGTACGATTCCTGAGCTTGGGACTAGCCTTGTTGCAAACTTGTACTTTCTTAACTTCGACGTGCTGACCAGGTGTGGGTTCCGACTGGTGCTGCATATCCAGTAGGGCTAACATACACAGTGTCGTGTCTAAACGATTCTTTATAAGGTATCGGAACGCTATTCTCAGGTTTGCCAGGCGGCCCGTATGCGCAGGGGTATTTGGTTGATGTGTGCCTCCGGTGAGTGTCGGTGTTATGGTCCCCCAAGGTCTTTCTCCCTGAGTGGGTCTGTAGTCTTGTCCACCTAGCCTATACTCTGTCTGCGGTCTTTTGCCCCTCCCCAATCTTCATGACTTGCATTTGGCTGGATTGAATTCGGGAAGCCAGTTACTGGACCACATGTCCAGCTCTCCAGGTCTCTTTGCAGTCTGCCTAATCCTCGTCCGATTAATTCTTCTATCAACTACGTCATCGGGCGTACAGGGGACACTTCAGAGTCTATTCTCCTCATGTCGTTCAAAATTATCAAAAATAGCACTGGTCTAGAATGACCCTTGGGGACCCGCTCGTAACAGCCCACTGTGGATACCTCTTCAGGTACATGCTCGTTGCTGCCTCCCTGTCAGGTATCCTATCCATTGCAGTGCCCTTCCTTTACGTGTGCCTGATCCTCCAGCTTCTGCACTAATCTCTTGTGGGGACTGTGTCAAAGGCCTTCTGCAGTCTAGGAAAACGCATCTACCCAACCCTCTCTCTCATGTCTTACTTCTGTTACCTTGTCATAAAACCCAGGAGGTTTGTGAACAAGATTGCTTCATGGAACCCAGCTGGTTTTCATTTTAATTTTGTTCCTTCAGGTTTTCGACCACTCCCTCCGATAATCTTCTCCAGATTTGCACAAAATACATGTAAAGACACGGTCTGTAGTTTATTTGCCTCGTTCTGTTTCCTTTCTAAATAGGGGGACTACATTAGCGTCTTCCATTCTCAGGTAGTTGCCAGTTTCAAGGGAGTGTTGAAGTGTGGTTAGAGGCACACACAGCATCTCTGCTCCTTCCTAAGGACCCATGGGAGATGTTGTCCGGTCCATCGCCTTTGGGGTGTCAAGGTCACTAAGAGCTTCTTCACCCCCTCCTCATTGTTTCGTATGTCATCCAACACTTGTTGGTATATTCCTCTTGAGTTCCCTTTGTTCTGTCTTCCACAGCCCTTCCGTCTTACTGTAAAAACTTCCTTAAATCTCATGTTCAGCTCCTACATACCCCTGTCATTTCTTGTGAGTCCCCCTGTCCTTAATCTGTCACTGGTCTTTGAGTTGTCTTCCTCTGTTTGGCTATACAACAGTTTCGGGTCTGTCTTGATTCTCGATGCTATGTTTTTTCATCTGTCGCTGGCCTCCCTCCTTACCTGTGCGTACTCATTCCTGGCCTGCGACTGATCTCCCTTTTCGTGTGTTCTCTCCCTTTCTGTACTTTTTCCATCTTATTGCACTTTGTTTTTCCTTTACACGTCGGTGAACCAGGGCTTGTTCTGGCCCTTCCCGTTGTTACTGTTGCCCTTGGGAATGAACCTTTCCACTCCTCCTTGCATTTGTGTTGCTACATATTCCATCTTTCATTTACTGGCTTTCCTGCCTTTTTCCCTCTGTCCCACTGGACCCCTCCCGCAGGAAGTTCTTCAACCCTAGTAGCCCCCCTCTTTTATAGTCAGGCTTTTCCCATTCTACTCCTTTATTCTCTCCACTTGCAGCTCACATGTATTCAAAAGCACAGAACCACGGGTCGCTAGCTCCTAGGGGACTCTCATACTTGATGTCCTCAATGTCTGAGCTGCCCAGGGTGAACACAAGGTCCAATCTTGCTGGTTCATCCTCCCTTCTCACTCTGGTAGTGTCCTTAACATGTTGGTGCATGAGGTTTTCCAGCACCACGTCCAACATCCTGGCTCTCCATGTTTCGGGACCCCCATTGGGTCCAGGTTTTCCCAGTCAATTTTCCCTGTGGTTGAAATCCCCCATAACCAGCAAAATTTGCTCTGCTGGAGTGAGCTCCCTTTTTGCCACCTCAGCAAGTGTGTCCACCATTGCTCGTTGCTCTCTTCATATTCCTCTCTTGGCCTCCTGCAGTTCGTGTGGATTATACATCCTGCAATGACCACTTGTGTTCCCCAGACTGAAGTGTACCTGCTATGTAGTCTCTTTCTCCCGTCTCATCTATTCCTTCCATTTCTCGAATTTCCATCTGTTTTTTTTGAGCAGAGCAACCCCACCCCCCCCTGCCCCTTCTATCTTTCCTCATGATCTGGTATCCTGGGGGGGAAGATTGCATCTGTTATTGTCTCCATGAGTTTTGTTTCGGGAACTGCTATGATGTCTGGGGACTTCTCATTGATTTTTTCTTGCCATTCCTCATGTTTATTCGTTAATCCATCTGCATTTGTGTACCAAAAACCCTTTAACTTCTGTTCCTAATACTGTAACTGTGGTGCGGGGGTGGAAACAGAGGGATCGGTGTGTGATGGTTGGGTT